AAAAATTGACCCTTATGACTGGTTTTGTGGTTCAGGCTCACATTTACATAAAATAAATTATTAAACATTACAATTTCCCCCAATCTGGACTAAGTTACAGATGTTCTCTCACTTAAACATCTATCAAAATAAAGTGCTCTGTGACTGGAAAGAGGTAGAAATAACAATTAACTTAAAATGATCATTTCCCACTATGTTTATAAATGGTAATTTTTCCCCCTAACCTTATTAAATGTGTCATCTTTCACATCAAATTCTTACATTGTTTCAATTAAATCAGTTAGAATAATAAGAAACTGTAGAGTTGTTACCATTCAAATGAAATCAGCATCAACAATCTCCATTTCTCCACTGCAGGAAACACAGAAGCTGCATCTGAAGTGGCATAAAGATGGTATGCCATATAGAGGTGCCATAAATGCATTTACACCGCAGAAATGCAAATGCATAAATAATGTTATAAGATTAATGTTTTAAATAGTATTTTTGAACATACAAATGTTGGGAAAAATGCAATACTTTTAAATATGAGACCAAACCACCAGTAGGTGGCGGCAAAAGACTGTTTTAATGATTGAGTCATTTACTCATTCATTCAACCGATTCGTTCAAACTGCTGATTCATTCAGAAACGAGGCAAGTGACACTGTCTTTATGAATGGGTTACTGAATCATTGACTCACTCACTCACACAGCAAAACCTGTGTTGCTCGGAGACACAACAGTTCTGCTGTGGCTTTGATTGGAACTATTTTTGTTTGCGTAATTGAGCAAAACCAGTCAATATTGTGCCAAAAATGTAAGTCACTTAATTTTAACTTCTTGTTTACTGAACTACTACTGTATAAAATCAGTGTAACATTGCAGTCATGCTGATATTCAGAGAAACATCTTGGTCATGCAATGTTGCTTACCTATATATCATATATTATATACAGTATATTCTACCACAGTATGCATCTATAACTTGCTCTGTGTAAAGTCATCCATATGACTTCTGTGTCTTCTGAATTCATACTGACAGAAATGTGATTGTTCATTGAAGATCTTCCCCATCACTTTAGCTCTCAAATCTCATTTAAGTTCACATGCATTCAGATATGGCATGTCAAGATGTGTCTTTACAGCTTTGACATCAATGACTTCAAATGGTTCTTGTGTGACTTGCTGACAGACCATATTTGAATGCGTGGGTCAATGACAAATAAAACTGCCCATGAAAAACAAAAGTGAAAATCTTTTAAAAATCATGTACAAATAATGTGCTGTTATGGCGTTTTTTATACACTATTGTAGTATTTATTGATATTTTGAATGAGCTTTCCTTTATATTTTCCGTTTTAACTGTAGTTTAAGTTTTAGTCATTGTGTTGTGTTGTGTTTTTCGTCATTTGTTTAATTTCACATTTCTATTAGTTTTAATGTATTTTAATTCAGTAATTTTCGTACTTTTGTAATTTCTAAGTTTTTCCATCTAATCTTTTTATTTTATTTCAGCTTTGTTTCAATTACCGAAAACTCTTTTAATCATTTTAAAGGGGTCATATGACGCGATTTCAAGTTTTCCTTTCTCTTTGGAGTGTTACAAGCTGTTCATGAATAGATAAGATCCCTAAAGTTGCAAAGACTAAAGTCTCAAACCCAAAGAGATATTCTTTATAAAAGTTAAGACTCGTCCACGCCCTCCTAAAACGCCTCGTTTAAACACGCCCCCACTACGCCCGCTGTAGTATTGTTGCTGCCGCCGCCGCCATGTCGTGAAGACGCTTACAGCAAATACACAAAATAATGTTCTTTTTAGCAACGTCATATGACCCCTTTAAATGTATTTACCAATTAACAGCACTTAATTGTTAATTGTATACCTTTTTAAAACCTTTTTCAAGACCACTTTCAAGTTAATGACTAAAAAAAATGTTATGTGGTGTAACTATCAAGTAAAAAGTCATTTTTCTTACACCTTCAATACAGGTGAGGGTTTTCTTGAAACATTGTTTTAAGAAATAGTAAAACAAAGGCTTATGGTCAAACAATTTTATAAGTTTTTTGAGAATGTCACTCTTTTATATAGACTATTCTCGTGACAGTTGTAGAACATTTTTTACTTTATGCCCAAACTCTCTGCCAAATATCGAAACGAATTATACTTCAGAAAATTACAAATATACCTATAATAGAATAGATATATTTAAGTCACTGCATGTTTGAACGGCATATTAAATGTAAATGTAATGTCACTAACCCGTATGCAGCTGATTTTTAGCATTTTTTCACTTTCATTGTATGGAAAAATGAGGCTACAAAGCATTCAGCACATGAGAGTATGTCATTCCAGTTCAGAGCAACATGAGGACGAGTAAATGATGAAAGACCTGACCTTTTCAGCCTTATTTCCGCCCAGAGCCTCTTTAGCAAACGCAAATAAGTGGACGTAAGGATCAGGCAACAGATCACGGAATATCACGTCATATTTCAAGCTTTTACGGAAAACAGGTGTGGCAAAGACAAGTGTTGAGTGCAGCTTCAGCGAGAGCTCAATGTCTTCCTGCACTATCTTGAGTGCTGTGGCCGTCAGCGCTACACAGGGAACCCCCTGCAGACCGTCCAGGAACATTCAGAGCTTTCAGGTGCTCCACTTGATCCTGCGGCAGGAAAAACAAAGAGTATGTCATCATGAATCAGATGGGTTTGGTGTAAACAGGGATAAAAAGTACCCAACGGCCACAGTTAAATATACTGCTGGATCTTTAATGTTGTGCCATATAAGATGTGTTATGTATTTATGCTGTAAATATGACAAAGCTGCCTGTTTTCAAACTGTTGTTATTACCAGAAATTGGAAGCACTGATAGATGAAATTAATTCACCGTGATGCATTTTGTGATTTCAGAAGTTTCAAGAACTTTTTGTTCTTTAATAAAACTATAGTTATTAGGGCTGCACGATTATGACAAAAATCATAATTGTCGATTATTCCCTTGAAATTGTAATTGTGATTATTAATTACGATTATCACAATTGACATTGAATGATGTTTATACCATTGTTTGATGCAACTGCATGCCGTATTTTTATATGAAAATAAACAAGCTGAAAAACCTTTAGTGCTTTTCTATAGTATTAAGCCTCAAATGTCAACTATACATCGGATTGGTTTCTTCTTTAAATTATAAAAAAAAGTAAAAATATGAATGGTATTATAATGTTATACTAAAACTAAAACAATGGAAAAACCCTTAAGATAACATGTAGAAAGAAAAAAACGCATCTTAAGCGTGCAGAATAACGTAAGTGGACTTTGAACGATTAATTGCCGCTTTGAACGATTACGTAACTGTGGCATCCATAATTGTAATCGCGATTATAAATTCGATTAATTGTGCAGCCCTAATAGTTACGATCTTTACATCTTGATTTTATGTGTTTTTTTGCATTTAAATGTAAATTCGAGTTAGAAGATTTTAGTAATCTAACATTTTAAATATTTTTTAAGTCATCCAATGGCCCCCCTGGTTCATGTGCTAAAAAACTCATCTGTAAATATATTACAATTTAGCAATAAACAATGTGTGTGTGTCGTTATTCACTTATAATGTTATCCAATAGACTGCTAGTTGAGTTATTGTGCTTTGTTGTCATTTTGGAGCTCAACAGCCAGGATCCTCTTGCTCTGTTTTCACACTGAAAAGAGGTTTGGAATGACATGAGCAGTAAGTGATGACAGGATTTTCATTTTTTGGATAATTATTCCTTTAATCAGCCAAACAGACGTGGTTATTGGCTGATGTCAGTCATCTATATACAGTTTTATTAATATGTTTGGCCAATAAATCAGTTTATCACTGGTGCAAACCTATGATCTAGCTCAGTGGTTCCCAACCCTGGTCCTGGAGGCACCCCAACACTGCACATTTTGCATGTCTCCTTTCTCTGACACACCAATTTCAGGTCTTGGAGTCTTTACTAATGAGCTGATGACCTGAATCAGGTGTGTTTGATTAAGGAGACATGCAAAACATGCAGTGTTGGGGTGCCTCAAGGACCAGGGTTGGGAACCACTGATCTAGCTACATGTATCAAACAGGGACCTGCTCACAGGCTATTGAGTGCCTACATCTTATCCATGATAGGAAGCATGTATGTAGATGGGATGGGTGTTTTCAACAGCATGTGGGCGTGATTCACCTGAAGGAGCGCGATCAGAGGCGAGACGACCAGAGTGAAGCCACTGGCCAGAAGAGCAGGGAGCTGATAGCACAGACTTCCCCGCTCTGGTGGGCATGAGGACAAACACCTGTGTCACCTCACCTGTGAGTACAGTCCACACACACACACACACACATCAGGAAACAGCACCACTGCACTGTCACTGTCATTAAGCTGCACTAGCATTCAGCGAACTCCTGGCATTTATTCCATAATAATCCAGTCTAAATGTGTCATTTTCACCCTTCAGCACTGCTTTCACGGCATCTTCCTGCTGCTGAGATCGAAAAGTGTCGAAACCGAAGTGTTTCTTTAACGCCCGATGAATGGCACTCATAACTACATCAACAATCATTCGCTGAACTTTTTTTTTAAATGCTTCATGTATCTGAAAACAAAACACCTTGATTCAATTAATATTCGGATCAGTAATATTATTGTATTGGAGAAATGTTTCATCCATAAATGATGGTTTTTGAAGATATCCGCTATACAATATTTAGAAATAGTCTACAATAATTTTTCAGGAGCCTAGGACAGAAAGGAAAACAATGTTCTTGTGCTCTCAGTTTATGTTTTGTTGTATTATTGTACTTTTATTGGTTGTTAAAAAAATATATTTCATAGTTTTAAACAGTTCAATAATATATCCTGCCTACATTATTTTTATATTTAATAATTATTCACTTATATAAAATGTATAAATATATGAAAAAATATAAATATGTACTTGTCCATTTTTGTGGTATAATACGTTAAAATCTAACTTTAAAATAAAATTAATTGAATTGCTAAATTGTATTATATTACATATCATTCATTTTGATGATTATAAATTAATCACCGAGCATGTCACACTCATTTGCACTGGAATACATGAATCTCATAATGCATCTAAATACATAATCATTGCATAAAGCACACAAGCGACATTTCACAGGAAAAAAAATCAGCATGAACACACAGGGTTGAACTTACTTCGATTTATTATTCACATAAAGTGCGTTTTCATGTCATGATTTGAGTTTGACAAATGAATATGAAAGTGCAGACAGAGCAGGCGAACAGTGTATTAAATAAGGTGCAGACAGAAGCAGCAGCATAGTCTTGACTGCTATGGATCACTGTCAGTCACTACGAACTGACCAACTAATATGGCCCAGTGGTTTATCTAATACTAATGAGGTCTAGAACACTGGTTCTCAACTGGTTTTGCTTCAGGACCCAAAGTTTACATCAAGTCAACCAACACAGTATTGCCAAAAATAGTCCTTAGCATCAAACACACAAATCTTTACATTACTCAAAATGATTAACATACCAGCTAACAGGGAATGTTCTCAGAACTTTGAAGAAGGTTCTGGCAAAGTTCTCTCACAGTTATGAACAAACATTCTTCAAGTAACATCAATAGAATGTTTGTTGAAAGTTGTCTGGACTTCAACAGCGCTCTCAAAACGTTAGCACAAAACCATTGTTTATAGATTATTCATGGAACGTTTTTCTGAAACATTTTAGTTGGATGTTTGTCTAAGTTTTTCAAACTGCTACTACTTAATAGTTTCAGCTGGTTTAGAGAACATTTAGAAGTTATAACATTCCCATAATGTATGCTAAATGGGAACGTTAGCGAAACATTCTCAGAACTTGGCTGAAGAAGAAGATTGTCTTCAAAGCTTGAGTGGTTTCTAATGGTCTTTTGAATTTCGATTGTTTCTCACCCAGTGAAAAACAACATTACCCATGATTCTTCAGAGAAATCAAGGAACTGAAACAAGCAAATTGTGTTAAGCGCCCACGCACTCCCATAAATGCAAAGCACTTCAAATGACATAACGCTCACAAACGCTCTCAAACTGCTTAAATATTTGTGTATATATGCATATTTTTCTCCATTGTTATTAATTTGACTGTCATTCACAATGCTTCATCCTTTCCAAGAACTGCAAATCTACGTTTGTAATGTTGTGATTCACCTCATAGCTGGTTGGTTTGGCTCATGACTTAAAACTCTTAATTGTAAAAGTACTTCGCAAAATACTTCCATTTCACATTTTTCCCCGTCTATGTGCAAATCTATCAGAACAAATGGTAACATATTAAAGCTGCGCCCAGTTGAGAAGCACTGGTCTAGAGATTAAGCACTAGGCTCCGGTTTGATTCGGCTAGGGGCTCAACCCCACAGGCACAAGCCGGGACACAGGCAGTGGCTCCTGTTCCCGGCGGATCTGATCACCAGGTCTTTCACGATCTCCACCGTTCCGAAGAGCGGGAAGAGCTTTTCACCAAATGTCTCGTTGTAAGTGTAGATGTGGGAGCGGTTCTCCACGTCGTAGAAGGACAGCTGGCCCTGGTTGTAGTCTAGGTAGACGCCGACCTTTGGAGGAATCAAGGCGGCAGGCAGGGCGGTGAACGGCACGGTGAGGGCCTTCAGCTCCATGCCGCGCTCCAGCCGTAGGGTCAGGTAGCCAGTGTTGGTGTTCAGGGACTTGAAGCCCTTACGCAAGGCGGACTCTTTGGCCACACCGATGCGCCAGTCCATTTCTCCCACATCCACCTCCCAGTACTGGCGGCCAGAGGCGAAGCCTTCGGTTCCCACCGCACACCACCAACCGTCGAAGCGCTGGTGATAGTTGGCCACGTCTTTGCGCTCGAAACCACAGCGCATGTGCTTCTCATCCTCGGAGATCAGCAGGTCAGGATTGGCCGTGTCCAGGTCAAGGGTCACCTCCACTATGATGGAATGAATGGAGGCCTGTGACTAATGTGTAATCAGTTTTATTAACTATGAATCAATGAAAATGCTGAATTTGTTTGCCTATGTAGGCAGCATTTTAAGGCATCAAATCCACACTTTCGACACAAAGTATCTTCCAATGGTTTGTAAAATATTATCTTTAGACAAAATTCTATTTATACTCTATTTAGAATTTAGACTAAATTCGATCCACATCACACATTTACAAGTATGTATATTTGTATGTGATGCTACACTTGTAATCCAATAATGCATTGCAACAAGATGGTGGATTACTTGTTGGTATTAAATAGGATTTGGGGAGCTTTCAGTTAAAGGGTTAGTTCACCCAAAAATGAAAATTCTGTCATTAATTACTCACCCTCGTGTTGTTCCAAACCCGTAAGACCTTCGTTCATCTTCGGAACACAATTTAAGATATTTTTGATGGAATATGAGGGCTCTCTGACCCTCCCATAGACAGCAAGGTAACTACCACGTTCAAGGTCCAGAAAAGTACCAAGATGATCGACAAAGTAGTCCGTGTGACATCAGTGGTTCAACTGTAAAGTTACGAAGCTTCGTCTCTACTGCGTCACTTGTGGACGTGCCTTCACGACAGTATCATGACGCGAGCATGTGGCAGCGCTGACGAAAATGTGGAATAAAGTCGTTATTTTTGTTTTCTTTGCGCAAAAAAGTATTCTCGTAGCTTCGTAACGTTACAGTTGAACCACTGATGTCACAAGGACTACTTTGTCGATCATCTTGGTACTTTTCTGGGCCTTGAACGTGGTAGTTACCTTGCCGTCTATGGGAGGGTCAGAGAGCCCTCATATTTCATCAAAAATAACTTAAATTGTGTTCCGAAGATGAACGAAGGTCTTACGGGTTTGGAACAACACGAGGGTGGGTAATTAATGACAGCATTTTCATTTTTGGGTGAACTAACCCTTTAAAACGGAAGTAAATAGTTCAATCTACAATTCTATATATTTTTTTAAATGAATGCTTTTATTTAGCAAGGATGCATTAAATTAATCAAAAGCGTAAAGATAAAATATATATATTTCAAATAAATGCTGTTCTTTTGAACTTTCAGTTCATCAAAGGATCCTGAAAAATTTATCACGTTTTCCACAAAAATACGAAGCTGAACAACTGTTTTCAACACTGATAATAATAATAAATTTCTTGAGCAGCAAATCAGCATATTAGAATGATTTCTGAAGGATCGTGTGACACAGAAGACTGGAGTAATGATGCTGAAAATTCAGATTTGCATCACAGGAATAAATTACATTTTAAAATATATTCCCAAAGAAATCACTCATTTTAAATTGTAATAATATTTCACAATATTACTGTTTTTACAGTATTAAATAAACAAATAAACGCCTTACCTCCTGCATCACAGATCCAGTCCCACACTAAATAAAGAAAAGCAATAATTAACACAAGTTCACAGTCTTATTATTCAATCCACCCTACAATTGCAAAACTGTCCAAAAAGTGAGAAGCATTAACACACGACTCACCTATGTGAGGAATATATGGGGTGGCACCTAAGTCAAAAACAAAAAAAAAGAGAATTGAGGTAAAAATATAAAAATAAAGGTGCTGTCAGCAAGATATTTTAATACCAATCATTATATTTCCATACCACCTGTCAGACATAAGAACCTAGTTTGCAACAGCTTTTTCTTAAATTCGTGATATTCAGGGAACTGACGAGATGATCTGACCTATTTTTTGGCTCCTCTGTTTCCACATAAGCCACTTTTGGGGAATGTTCTCCTAAATGCACAAATAAATCAGTTTTGCGTTACAATAAAGTAATTGGTCCACTGAATTCAACTCTGGAGTTCCTGTAATGTTATTTTCTTCATACCTTGTCTAGTTCTTTGCTGATTAGCGTCCAGAACACCAGCTCCATGGCTGACAGCAGGGTGGCCATCCGACCTCTTTTCCACTGATTCTCAAAGTCATCCAAAACCGCCACCACCTGCTCCCCAGGCCAGACACTTTGCTACACAGGAAAGGGGGAATAAATGATGCAAGTGTTGCCACTCAATATAACTGGCATGCAACTATTAAAGGAAAAGTTCACCCCAAAAAAATTAATATTCAAAAAATAATAGCATTTGTAATGTCCCCATAAAACATAGAAACCCAGCGTTTGTGTATGTATGTGTGTGTGTGTACCTCAGGTTGGGCCCTCAGGTCTTTGGTCCAGGTGAGAATAACTCTCTTGGCGCTCTCCATATCCTGCTCACTGCTCAGAGCCAGATCCTTCCAGTCACTTCTCTCTGGCCATCCATCAGTCAGCATCGGTCTTTTCTGTTAGGACAATATTTGGTGACGCTCTAGCTCTGGTGAGCTAGTGAGCTGCCTACACATGCAGACTTTTAAAGGGATAGTTCACCCAAAAATGACAATCAGCCCATGATTTACTCACCCTCAAGCCATCCTAGGTGTGTATGACTTTCTTCTTTCAGATAAATACAGCCAGAGTTATATTTAAAAATGTCCTGGCTCTTCCAAGCTTTATAATGGCAGTGAATGGGTGTTATTTTTCAATAGTCCAACAGAAGACCAATAAAGCGCATATATCCATAAAAGAGTGTCCAAAAAGTGTCCTACATGGCTCTGGGGGGCTAATAAAGGCCTCCTGAAGTGAAGCAATGCGTTTTTGTAAGTGTAGGCAAATAGGCATAGCGTAAGCTCCGGTGAGAAGTGACGAATGCAGAAGTGCAGGAGAGAGCAAAACAAAACACCGCTCACGAATTAGAAGTACAAAACGGAGATTTGTAAAGAAAAATGTTGGAGATTTCGATATAAGCCAAGAAGAGACTGGTTTTCCTTTGCTGAAACAAAACTTGGTTCTTGCGACACTAGCATATTCTCACCGGAGCTTATGCTACGTCATCTGTTGGAACGCCACTCTCTCGTGAACGTGCGTACGACAGTTAGCGGAAGCTAGAGATTATGGTTTATAAAGTTTTAAATATGGATATTTTTCTTCGGAGCCGTGTGGGACACTTTTTATTATGAATGGATGCACTTTATGGACTTCTTTTGAACTAATGAAAAATAACACCCATTCACTGCCATTATAAAGCTTGGAAGAGCCAGGACATTTTTAAATATAACTCCAATTGTATTTGTTTGAAAGAAGAAAGTCATATACACCTAGGATGGCTTGAGGGTGAGTAAATCATGGGCTAATTTTCATTTTTGGGTGAACTATCCCTTTAAGGAGTCAAAAAAGTACATTCGTTTACAGCAATTTGGTTTCAGTGGGAGCATAAAAAATACAGTAAATGAATAATAGGTATAAATGAGTATCTTGCCTTGCTCTCTAGCAGCGATGCCCACTCTAGAATGAAGGCCCTGCAGGTGAGAGTGGGCCACACATCTTCACTCTCTGAGATGTGCTCCAACACCTCTGACCTCTACAGCCACCAGGAGGGAAGAAAACACACATGTAACACTCATGAGCTTCTGTCTGCATCAGCCCTGCGTCAGCACTGTGAGCCAGTCAGAACTGAATCAATCAGACAATTCTGCTTCCTATTTGCTAATTCACTTCAATTACTGGATATGAATTTAGGTAGCAAATAGGATGCAGAACTGAATTTCAAATTTAAATTTAAGGAAGCAGAACCTTTCAAACTGAATTGATGTATTTAGCATTTTAATTATTTTTCATTTAAAAAGTTCAAATATGATGCATATTTTAAAAGGATATAACAATAAACATGAAAGTCCTTCAAACCTGTCTTTATTTATAGTAAGTAAACCAAATTAAACTTTTACTAACAAAATGTTTTTTAATTTTATCTTAAGTGAAAATTCTACTACAGCTAATTTAGATTTTGTGGTGACATTAAGTTGTAAAAAGACAAATATTTACAATTTACAAAAAAGACAATATAAGTAATATTTTGGCTTATGCCTAAGTAAATCACACTAATTAAATATAATCAAAACGACCCAACCACTGGGTCAAAACAACCCAACCGCTGGGTCAAAAGCTGCCAACAGCTGGGTCAAAAGCTGGGTCAAAACAACCCAACCGCTGGGTTTGTCCCTTTTTAACCCAGCATTTTTTAGAGTGTACAGTCTTTATAATGATAAAACTTTTTACTTTGTACGAATATTTTTGCCTTTGGGAAAATAAATACTTTTGAGTAATATTGAATCTATAATATCCATAAATATAATTTAGGAAAAACTAGTACATTTGGATTTTGCTAAATAAAGGTTTTTTTTTTTTTTTTTTTTTTCAGTGACTATATCATTGAATTTCTCTTTCAGATCAAATCAATTCCAATTAAAAATTCAATGAAATGGAAGCCAATTAAATTTTGAATATTCATGTGATTATCCAGCCATCAGCGCTGATTTTTTGGTGTATTAGACATTTATCAGTGGCTGTACCTGACAGACGCGTCCCAGATCCTTAGCCAGGCTGACAATGAACTGCTGGCTCTCATCCAGTGGTTCTCGCTTCTCATTCTTCACCTTCTTGCGAAACTCCTGTACGCATAAAATAATTGAATGTTATATGAATCTTAGTAAACGCTAAATAAAAAGTTAGTCTCAGTGACGGACTGCCTCATGAAACACAAGAACAACAAATTCATCAGATGAATCCATCTGTACATATTACTTTTGGGTTGACAGAAATCGACACATCAAAACAAAACAAACTGTGATCAGTCTCATGTCATTCACAAAGTCTCTTCCTGTCATGTGGGCGGTTCTTTGTGACAGTAAGCTGTAATGTGGACCAGAATTTATTCTGAAAGTTTGGCTACGTGAGACTATTTCAGCATGTTGTCAGTTAAGGTTGTTCATGAAGGCTACGGCAAACAAACAAGAACAGTGTTTCATTAAAATGCAACTCATGCATGCTCTACTTCCTGTGTCGTTGTCTCATGTTAATGAGCAGCAAAAGGCTCACATCTATTGAAATCAGTCACAATGACCAGTTAAAAGAGCCTTTTATCTCACTTTTGAACTAAAGGATAGAAAAGGACAAACTCTGTCTTGCCTACTGATGTCAAATGTTTTGAAGCAACAGGTTCACGTTTCTCTGTTTTTATGTCACTGTATGTAAGAAGAACACATTGCCAACATGTACCTTAAACTTCTCTATAACGTTCCTGGTTGGTTCAACCAGAAACTGAAGACACTGCATCATGGTAGCTGCTGCTCACAGAAATCCTTTACTAGAGGAAACAACTATAGCAAAGACAGGAAATGACAAAAGTTTTCTGTCAAAACTAAAGGTCATTTAAAGGTTTTTCTTACTGAGTGACACACAACCCTGTTGAAAAAACCAGCATGCTGGTTAAGTATGTTTTGAAGCTGGGATGCTGGTCCTTTGCTGGTTTATGCTGGTCCTTAGCTGGTCATGTGCTGGTCATAAACTGGTCCGACCAGCACATGACCAGCATAAACCAGCAAAGGACCAGCTTAAACCAGCATCCAAACATACCTAACCAGCATATGCTGTTTTTTTCAACAGGGTAGGCCTAATTATTGTTGTATCATTACTGAAAACGGACAGAACAGTGAGACTTGGAAAAACTATCTTACACACAAATCGTCTAACATCCTATAATCAATGGGCTCATGTATACTGTACATGCCATTTGATTTAAAATGTCAGCATTCATGCTGGAGTTGAAAAAGCTAATAAATATCATCATGCATTTTAATATAATAAAAATCTGAGAAATGTTCTGACTGCATTGTAATTCTGACAAACGTCTAGAGCTGCTGAATAAATACTGGAAGAGACACATTACTTTGCTGCACTGCTCAAGATCTTTCATGTATATTGATGAGGTAACGTTAATGCCCTTGAATGTCATTCTTGAGTCAGTCCGACACAACCTATTTCGCATGATCTTCACATTGCGCATGTGTGTAAACAGTGCCATGCTGTGTTTTCATGACGCATATGAGAAAACAACACGCTGCACAAGGTTTGTAAAAAATAGATATAGAGAAAATAAATCAGCATGCATAGCATCATATGCCTGCATGCATTCATCACTGTACCTGTAAGGTGTGTGCTGTGCCACAGGATGGGTCCCTCTCCAGAGAAAGTCGTCCAGCGAGTCAGTGGAGAATGAATGCTGCAGCGAATACTTGACCTTGTTTACATACAGTGACTTCGCAGAGCCGAACACGAGCCGAACGTCATTCGGGCTTTTCCGGATGCGGAATGAAAACGACTCCATGTTTATTGTGGCCCAAGGTAAGCGAGTCATGTGTACTACACATGATTATGAATTTTTTCTTTTCTTTTCTTTTCTTTTCTTTTCTTTTCTTTTCTTTTCGAACTGCAGAACAGTTATGTAGTTCTCTAAATAAAAAGTATAATAAATGTGAATAAAAATAAAAATGTGAATTTGAGAATGTCACCGAAGTACATAAATAACAATTTAATTTATTTATATTATTTTTATTTTTATTTTAACATGACATTTATTTCTCACAAACGAAATGTACTATTTCAGCCATAGTTAATAAATAAATAATAAATGAAAATTTGAATGCGTCTGTCATTTTATTTTATTTGTTGGTGGTATGTGCTAATAACTATTGCTATTTAACTATTATTTATGAATTACCCCTAAACCAAAGTTAGCACAGGTTTTATACAAATAAGCAAATAATACAAAATACAAAGAATATACAATGACTGACATGTTAACCATGTGATGATTTAAAAATAATAAAAAAAAATAAATTACATTAATACAATTGTTTTTTTTTTGTTATGTTTATTGTGGCCCAAGGTAAGTGAGTCATGTGTACTACACATGATTATGAATTTTTTCTTTTCTTTTCTTTTCTTTTCTTTTCTTTTCTTTTCGAACTGCAGAACAGTTATGTAGTTCTCTAAATAAAAAGTATAATAAATGTGAATAAAAATAAAAATGTGAATTTGAGAATGTCACCGAAGTACATAAATAACAATTTAATTTATTTATATTATTTTTATTTTTATTTTAACATGACATTTATTTCTCACAAACGAAATGTACTATTTCAGCCATAGTTAATAAATAAATAATAAATGAAAATTTGAATGCGTCTGTCATTTTATTTTATTTGTTGGTGGTATGTGCTAATAACTATTGCTATTTAACTATTATTTATGAATTACCCCTAAACCAAAGTTAGCACAGGTTTTATACAAATAAGCAAATAATACAAAATACAAAGAATATACAATGACTGACATGTTAACCATGTGATGATTTAAAAATAATAAAAAAAAATAAATTACATTAATACAATTGTTTTTTTTTTGTTTTGTTTTTTTACTAAGAAACTGTATTTACTTTTCCTTCTTTAAATTGTGCTGCCGAATTCTTGTGCATAAGAATTTATGGTAAACAAAAATCTACTTTAATGTCATTTCTATTGAAACTTTTGTATTGTATTTGAATATATGTACAAATGTTACACATTTGCAGTGATAAAGTAGCAATTTAGTACATTTAAAATATATTAACTTTAATTGTAATATCAAACAACACACTACCAATAAATTATAATCAAGTACTTTACATATGCTTTAGTATGTTAGTCAACACATCAAATAAGTGTACTTCTTTAAAGAATAACAAAAGATTGTTTATCTTTAAAGACTGATTGATTCTCGTCAGTGTGTACATTCCTCCGCAAGCACACGTGAGCTCAGCTTTACAGAAACTCGCTGATCTGATCACAGAGACAGAACAACAACACCCGGACTCTGTTTTAATCATTCTCGGGGACTTTAATAAAGCCAATCTCTCCCGTGAACTGCCAAAATACAGTCAGCACATCACATGTCCCACCAGAGACAGTAATATATTGGATCACTGTTACACCACAATAAAGAATGCATATCACTCTGTTCCACGGGCAGCTACCTGGCAATAAAGCTCATTCTGATTCTGATTAAACATAATTCACTCTAAAAAAAAATCACTGGATTAAAAACAATCCCAGTTTTGGGTAAATATAGGACAGAACACATGTTGGGCTAACCTGATCCGATTTTATCAATGAAATAAAACACACCCCTGTATCTCACCACAGAAATGCACCAGTTCAACGACACTGTGAAGCGCTCTTTCCTGCAAGAGAATGGAATAGCTGAGTAACTCAGCCGGTTGTTATGTCGAGGGGTGGGAAAGGGGTGCATTTGACCAGCCAGTAACACAACACTGAAAAAATAACCCCAAAAATGACCTAATAAACTCAACCCAGCGTTTGGGTTAAAAAAAAAAAAAACAGTATCTTTTTAGAGTGTAATGACTGAGAATATACTTTAAAGTAAAACATTTAATTTGACTTGATTTCAAAGTTCACTTTTTAAAAGTGTACTTAAGTGTTTTAAGAAATATAGTCATGAAAGTGTCTCACTTTAAGTTCACTTAAGTGGCCTTTTATTTCTGTAATATTATGTACAATGTGCAAGTACAATGTTTTAAATAAATATACTTTCAAGATTTGAAGTGCACGTTCAATACTATTAAGCGCACAAGGGTTACTAAAAGTAAGTAACTTGCTTAAAGGGTTAGTTCACCCCAAAATAAAAATTCTGTCATTAATTACTCACCCTCATGTCGTTCCAAACCCGTAAGACCTTCGTTCATCTTTGGAACACAATTTAAGATATTTTTGATGAAATGTTCCCAGGTCCAGGGTAGTAAGGACATCAGTAAAACAGTCCATGTGACATCAGTGGCTCAACTTCAGTTTTGCGAAGCTACGAGAATACTTTTTGAGCGCAAAGAAAACAAAAATAACAATTTAATTAACAATTCTTCTCCCCCGAGTTACGTCTTCCGCCATTTTGGAGAGTCTCCAAGAGCGTAATCTGCAAAATCAGCGTTGTTTACGTTCGGAGGAGAAAGCGCACGCATGAACGTAATCTGCGTAATCAGCGTTGTTTACCTTCGGAGGAGAAAGCGCGCGCATGAACATAATCTGCGTAATCAGTGTTGTTTACGTTCGGAGGAGAAAGCGCGCGCATGAACGTAATCTGCGTAATCAGCGTTGTTTAAGTTTGGAGGAGAAAGCACGCCCATTAACGTAATTAGCGTTTACGTTCGGGGGAGAAAGCGCGCGCATGAATGTAATCTGCGTAATCAGCGTTGTTTACATTCAGGGGAGAAAGCGCGCATGAACGTAATCTGCATAATCGGCGTTGTTTACGTTCAGGGGAGAAAGCGTGTGCATGAATGTAATCTGAGTAATCAGCGTTGTTTACCTTCGGAGTAGAAAGCGCGTGCATGAACGTAATCTACGTAATCAGCATTGTTTACCTTCGGAGGAGAAAGCGCGCGCATGAACGTAATCTGCGTAATCAGTGTTTTTTACGTTCGGAGGAGAAAGCGCGTGCATGAGCGTAATCGGCGTTGTTTACGTTCAGGGGAGAAAGCGTGTGCATGAACGTAATCTGCGTAATCAGCCTTTACGTTCGAAGGACAAAGCGCGCACATGAACGTAATCTGCAAAATCAGCGTTGTTTACGTTCGGAGGAGAAAGCGCGCACATGAACGTAATCTGCAAAATCAGCGTTGTTTACGTTCGGAGGAGAAAGCGCGCACATGAACGTAATCTGCAAAATCAGCGTTGTTTACGTTCGGAGGAGAAAGCGCGCACATGAACGTAATCTGCAAAATCAGCGTTGTTTACGTTCGGAGGAGAAAGCGCGCACATGAACGTAATCTGCAAAATCAGCGTTGTTTACGTTCGGAGGAGAAAGCGCGCACATGAACGTAATCTGCAAAATCAGCGTTGTTTACGTTCGGAGGAGAAAGCGCGCACATGAACGTAATCTGCAAAATCAGCGTTGTTTACGTTCGGAGGAGAAAGCGCGCACATGAACGTAATCTGCAAAATCAGCGTTGTTTACGTTCGGAGGAGAAAGCGCGCACATGAACGTAATCTGCAAAATCAGCGTTGTTTACGTTCGGAGGAGAAAGCGCGCACATGAACGTAATCTGCAAAATCAGCGTTGTTTACGTTCGGAGGAGAAAGCGCGCACATGAACGTAATCTGCAAAATCAGCGTTGTTTACGTTCGGAGGAGAAAGCGCGCACATGAACGTAATCTGTGTTATCAGCGTTATTTACCTTCGGAGGAGAAAGCGCACGCATGAACGTAATCGACGTAATCAGCATTGTTTACCTTCGGAGGAGAAAGAGCGCGCATGAACGTAATCTGCGTAATCAGTGTTGTTTACGTTTGTGGGGAGAAAGCGTGCGCATGAATGTAATCTGCGTAATCAGCATTGTTTACGTTCGGAGGAGAAAGCACGCGCATGAACGTAATCTGCGTAATCAGCGTTGTTTACGTTCAGGGGAGAAA